TCATTTCGTTGTAGGGTCGCTCTAGGGCATTCCATCATGGATTTGCGATTTCATCCTCGGTGCAAGCAAACGTTGCGCAGGGTTTTACGCAGCAAGTTGACATCGGGACAATTGATGTTTGGAAGATAGGCAGCCTTCTGTTTGGAGAAACACTCAAAATGGAACTAGGAGAGAATTATTAGGAGGCGGTTAGAGATGTGGATGATAAATAATGATTGGAGATCCCAGATTTATTTTGAGTGCGACCAGGAATGACTTACTGTTGTTCTGGATGTTGAAGGTTCAGGGAAGGTAGGTGTCAGAGATGGAAATCCTCCCTCCTCCTGCCCTCCAACCCCACCCCATTCATTTGGCACGGGACAGAGTGGATGGAGATGGCACTTACTGAACAAGGGGAATGCGAGAAGATCCAGGGCTCAGTTATAAACATGAAAACGAGGGGACACCAAGGAGACAGCCTTGTGGGATTCAATGTAAGTGTTGCATTTCAGAAGGAAAATGTAGCCTAGAGTCTCAGTTTTAACCAGCCTCAGGATAACACTGGGGAGTAGATACCTTGGAAACAGTGTAGCAAGGGAAGATAAGAAGGCAAGAAAGTGATCCCAGGTGGACCCCAATACTTAGAGGTCAGGAAAGAGATGGATACATCCAAAAGGGATAGAGAAGGAGCATCTAGACCCATGGACCCAAACGAAAGGTCTTGGTTTCATCAAAGATGGAATTAGAATTCTTTTTTTTTTTTTAAGAATGAGGACTCTCTGGGAAATAGTTAACACATTAACCAAAAGTCCAAGTTCACCCAGAGATGTCTTGGAAGAAATGTCTGGCTACTTCCAAAATTGTAGCCATTGAAAACATTGTGGAGCCCAGTTCTACTCTGACACACCTGGGTGGACCATAAGTTGCCATGGATTCATCAATACTTGGTTTTCAGGAGAGAGTGGTCAGTGATTTCAAATGCCCCTGAGTGATTACAAGAGAGCTCAAAGGGAAGGCATGTCATTGGTCACTTTTCCTGGAGCGCTATCGTTCTGCTGGTGGAGGCAGAGGCCAGATGAGATGCATTAAAGAGTAAAAGGCCACACAATAAACAACATCAATCAAGGTAAGACCAAGCCTAAGGCTGTCAAGTTGATTTTGCCCCCATAGGATTTCCAAGTCTGTCATCTTTATGGAATCATACTGTCCGTCTTTCTTCCTTGGTGCAGCTGGGTGGGCTTGATCCACTGACCTTTAGGTTAGCCGCAGAGCACTTCACCACCACTGTACCACCAGGGCTCCTTGGACATCTGACAATCAAACATCAGTCATTGCTCGATAAAGGACTTGAATGTAAAATGCAAAGCTTCTCAAAGAAAATCTGAATATTTTCTCTAATGATTTTAGAATAGGAAACTGAAGTAACACACACAAAAATGGACAAATCATAAAAGGTAAGACTTAGAAATATGACCCCGTAAAAGTTAACTTACTGGGAGAAAGATGAGGCTTTCTACTCCCCTCAAACTCACCGTAGTCCTTAGTCTTGAGGCTGAAATTCCCTAGTGCTTCGGTACCAGAAGATTGCTATCCCAAACTTATAGAACTGGAAATCATTGGACTTTGGTGTGGATCTTTTGCTTTGAGGGTGGCAAATGAAAGGTGACCCAAGACTATCATATGCTTACTATTTTAATGTTCTTCTTGTTTTATTATGACATGTAATAATCGGGTAGGCATGGTTCTACCATTGTGAATGAATGCCATTGAAAAATTTTACACTCACACCAACCTCCATTGTTTGGGTCAATAGTGTCCAGTCATTTAAGAGTGTAATCTGTACAAGTCAGCAAGTCATGCATTGTTATTCATGGTCAGCCTCAACTGGTATTATGTCCTTTTACCAACAGTATTTTAAATTCTACACCATTGGCTAAATTAATGATATTATCAATATGCCCCAGGGAGATGATTGATACTGTTTTCTAACATAAAATGATAAATATGTCTCTAAAATGATACATGGACAAATATAAACCATAGATATATGAATGGATTTTGGGTTCACACTTAATTCTTGCCCAAATCAGGGAACAATTAGTTCTTATGACATGGCCCTGCTTGATGCTCACCTTCATGAAGAAATCCCTAAGATATGGGTGCTGTAGCAAAGTGTGGCGAAGAAGCTAGATGATGCCCTGCTTTTAGAAAAAATAGCATCTAGAGTCTTAAAGCTTTGTCTTAGAACAAATACCCATTTGAGTGAGGCGCCAACTGGGCCCATGCAGAAGAAGCACACCAGATTGTGTGATCCAAGGACTGTGAATAATAAAATCCAAATCTGAATGAGGGAATAGTATCAGTTAACTTGTGAACACTCCGTTTGTGGAAGGCTATGTATGACAACGGGAACTGAGACAGTTAAAGTTTATTGTGCCAACCTGGCCATTAAACATGTGGGGTTAATTGAAGGGTGGAGAGATAAATGGCTCGGTGAACCTCACCTTTCTAGTTCTCGGGTCTCTTGCTTTCTGATGGTCCGACCAGGGTGCAGCTGCCTTAGCAAGTTCCCTGCATCAGCTGGCAAGGCTCACTTCCTGCAAGACATCCCCGAGGAGAAGCCACATGGAACAACCCCAATGCAGCCCTGGGTGCTGGAGCAGCCTGTGGAGACCCCTGCCAGTGCTAAGATGCTTACAGGTTCACTGATTCTGCTTTTCTCCTGTAGTCGGCTTCATTGTGTGTTTTGTGAGATGAAGGAGGACTTTGTGGATTGGGGTGTGACATGTGGGTTAATTTTGGATTTGTGGGTTTGGGCAGCACTGAGTTGGGAAGTTTTCTCGATGTGCCCTTAACCTTTATATAAAATTCTCTCTTATACATGAGTTTCTGTCGATTTGTTTCTCTAACGCACCCAGACTAACACATTTGCAGGGTCCACGCATGAAATAACCCTCTAGTAAATCTCCTCTGACCATAGACTGAGGGTGTGAAGAGCCTTGGTATCATGCAGAATGCAGTGGGACTTTTGTTCTGCTGCACTTTGTTTTCTGTTTCTCTGTATCTGAAATCCAGAATGGGTAGAGCTACAGAGGCAGCGACTTCATTGAATGGTTTCCTGTGGGTTCTCATAGGCAAGGTTGGATGCAGGTGGGGAGCTGATAACAAAGAGTACAAGAAAGAAGCCAATGCTCTAAAATTGATTGTGTAGATGATGGCACAATCTCTTTAATATGACTGCACATTGAATTGTATATGTGAAATATGTAACAATAAAACTTTTAAAAAAAAGAATTACAATCTTTTGCAAACTTGATCTCTAGTTCTCCATGATGTTAACAGAAGAAAGGAGAACTAGAGTTGCTAAAGTAATTGTGTGTTAGAGATGTTTTAACCTCCAGAGATACTGAGTTGGCCAAGTCTATCCTAATACACTATTAACAAATAAATTTAAAAAGAGTTACATTCTTGGAAACCCACAAGGGATATCTACCCTGTCCTGTAGGGTTTCTATGAATCAGAATGGACTCGATGACAGTGTTTTCATTTTAGCTTAATATTAAGAATTCGCTTTCAAAATGGAAAAGGAAAAAGCAAGCCACAATCTGAAAGACATTATGTGGGAAATAAATGTTTGACAAAGGAGTAGTATCTAGACCATCTTAAAAGCTTTGAAACTCACGCTAGACAAAGACAGAGTCAGAGAGGAAGACAGAGAGGAAGAAAGAAGCAGGCAGAAGGCTTGAGCCAGCGTGCCCCAACCGAAGAAACCCAAATAGCCAACAACTGAAGCGAAAGACTGAAATAGCATTAGCTAGAGAGAGCTATGAAAGAAATTGGCAACCAGATGCCGCTGTACCCTCAGCAGATAAGCAAAAAATATACATGGAAAGTCTGAAACACAATGCTGGTAAGTATATTGATTTTCTTTATTCATTGTCCAGCTCTCAAGCACATATGAAGTGACTGAAAATACCATGGTTGGGTTTGGCATTTCTGTTCCTCACACATTAAAGTGGTCTTGTGCAGCAGATTTGCCCTGTACAATATGCCATTTGAGTTGCGGATGACAGCTTCCATGAGCATTGAATGTGCATACAAGCAAAATGAAATCCCTGACAATTTCAAACTTTTCTCTGTTCATCATGGTGCTGTCCACTGGTCCAGTTCTGGGGATTTGGTGGAGTCGTGGTTATGCTGGGGTGCAACTGCAAGATCAGCTGTTCCTCAGGAGAACGATGGGGCTTTCTTCTCTCATAAAGAGTTACAGTCTCAGAAACTCACATGACAGTTCTATCATGGCCTAACGGGTTGCTGCAGGAGCCCTGGTGGTGTAGGTGCAGTGGCTAGGATTGAGCTGTGATCCTCATGGCCAGTAGTTTAAAACCACCAGCAGCTCCAAGAGAGAAAGACTAGGCTTTTCAATCCCACAAACAATTACAGTCTTGCGGGAGGTGCGGGGGTCATCATGGATCAGCATGGACTTGACGTCAGTGAGTTTGTGTGTCCTTTCGGTTTTATGTTATGTTGTAATCCATACTGAAGACTTTGTTTCAAGTCCTCCTGGCTTTCAGTAAACAAGGTTGTGCCACTTGCATATCGCAAGTTATTAATGAGCCTTCCTCCAATCCGGATGCCACGTTCTTCATCATATAGCTCACTTTCTTGGATTATTTGCTCAGCATACAGGTTGAATAAACATGGTGAGAGGATAGAACTCTAGCATGCACCTTTCCTGAGTTGAAACCACACAGTATTCCCACTCTCTGTTCTAATGACTGCCTCTTGGTCTATGTATAGGATCTACAGTTAAGTGTTCTGGAATTCCCATTCTTCCCAATCTGATGCAGGGTTTATTATGATCTGCATAGTTGAATGTGTTTGCACAGTCAATAAAACACAAGCAATTTTTTTTTATATTCTCTGTTTCTAGCCAAGATTAATCTATCCCTTCTTCCATGTCCATGTCTGAAACTGGCTTGAATTTCTGGAAACTCCCTGTTGATGTATTACAACAACAGTTTTTGAATGATATTCAGAAAATTTTACTTGCAGGTGGTATTAATGATATTGTTTAATACTGTTAACTTTCAAAAAAAGGGCACAGCTACGAATCTCTTCCAGTTAGTTGGCAGCTTGCTATCTTCCAAATTTATTGGCATAGACTTGTGAGTCTTCTATCAGGTTTTTTTTACATTTAAATTGATATCCATCCATTTCAGGAGCCTAC